TTTTCATTAATTATTTTAAAATACAGTTTACCTTATTAAAATAGTTTTGGAAAGAAGGCTGGAAATGTGGTAAGCGCTTTTGTTGTAAACATCGAGAGAGTTACATAGTAATAAATTAATTCCAAATTTTCATACAAACGTATGTTTCTATTTAAAAAGTTTGTCGATCGTGCAACTGCCATATTTTAAAATGTACAGTAATAACCCGAACTTACGCGATAGTTGGGATCGAGCGGTAACCGCGTAAGTCGAATTCGCGTAAGTCGGGGTATAATTTCGCATATAAATACATATAAATAATTTTTAATTGGGGCCGGAGACTAAAGAAAACAATAATTTACAAAAAAATGTTTAATAAAATCTTAGATAATACATATGTATAACAAATTATATTATTAAAATTGTAAACCGAAGTTATTTTGATGTAGAAAGCTTCATAAAATCTAACAAATTCATCTGACGATTCAAAAATTTTTTCTCCCACAAAATTTCCTTGTAGCATGCTAATAATTTTTTTATTTCTTGTTTTGTAGAAGAAATGCACTCTTTGTTGGAGTTTATATTTTCTAAAATTTGTAACCTTTTTTCAATTGAACCGAGGCCTTCTGTCAAGTTTCCAACCGTCATTCGATCTTCTGATTGAACTGAGTCTAAAGGGTCAAGTTCTTCAATGTCTTGCTCTTGCTTACACATTTCTATGAGCTCATTGATTGTCAGCTCCTGATTGTGGGAATCCAGAGTTCTCGAACATCATCACTATCCACTTCTAAATTTATTTGCCTGGCAAGATTGACAACTTCTTCAATCACATTACCAATTTCATCAAGCTCTGGCACTGATTCCGCCTTAGTTTCAGTGGTGAAAAAAAAGGACACAGTTTTTTTTCCAGATGCCATTTAAAGTTTTTTGTGAAACTTCATTCCAAGATTGTTCAATGATTCTCACTGCATATAAAACATTGAATTGTTTCCAAAAGTCTTTAACAGAGAGCTCATTGTTTTGTCTCATAGCTTCATGCAGATGATCGTCTCGTGTAATGTTTGAATGTTTGAAGCTTTGAATGTTTTCATGACTCCCCGATCCATCAGTTGAAGCAAGCTGGTTGTATTTTGTGACAAAAATACAACTTTCACACATGGGTCAAAATGAGTTAAACTTGCAGGGGGATGACCTGGTGCATTGCTGATTATTAGCATCACTTTAAATGGAACTTGTTTAGATTGGCAATAATGTTCAACTTTGGGTATGAAGTGATGACCAAACCAGTCCTCAAAAAGGGAAGCTGCCACCCAAGCTTTATGATTCGAATTCCAAATCACAGGCAAGCCAGCTTTCGATTTATTTTTCAATGCTCTTGGATTTTCCAAGCGATAAACTAAGATAGTAGTAATTCAAACACAAATAATTATCGTATTTATCTTCAGGCACTTGGCAATACTCATCATCAAGTTTTATTCAGTTGAATCAACTGAATAAAACTTGATGATGAGTATTGCCAAGTGCCTGAAGATAAATACGATAATTATTTGTGTTTGAATTACTACTCTCTTAGTTTATCGCTTGGAAAATCCAAGAGCATTGAAAAATAAATCGAAAGCTGGCTTGCCTGTGATTTGGAATTCGAATCATAAAGCTTGGGTGGCAGCTTCCCTTTTTGAGGACTGGTTTGGTCATCACTTCATACCCAAAGTTGAACATTATTGCCAATCTAAACAAGTTCCATTTAAAGTGATGCTAATAATCAGCAATGCACCAGGTCATCCCCCTGCAAGTTTAACTCATTTTGACCCATGTGTGAAAGTTGTATTTTTGTCACAAAATACAACCAGCTTGCTTCAACTGATGGATCGGGGAGTCATGAAAACATTCAAAGCTTCAAACATTCAAACATTACACGAGACGATCATCTGCATGAAGCTATGAGACAAAACAATGAGCTCTCTGTTAAAGACTTTTGGAAACAATTCAATGTTTTATATGCAGTGAGAATCATTGAACAATCTTGGAATGAAGTTTCACAAAAAACTTTAAATGGCATCTGGAAAAAAAACTGTGTCCTTTTTTTTCACCACTGAAACTAAGGCGGAATCAGTGCCAGAGCTTGATGAAATTGGTAATGTGATTGAAGAAGTTGTCAATCTTGCCAGGCAAATAAATTTAGAAGTGGATAGTGATGATATTCGAGAACTCTGGATTCCCACAATCAGGAGCTGACAATCAATGAGCTCATAGAAATGTGTAAGCAAGAGCAAGACATTGAAGAACTTGACCCTTTAGACTCAGTTCAATCAGAAGATCGAATGACGGTTGGAAACTTGACAGAAGGCCTCGGTTCAATTGAAAAAAGGTTACAAATTTTAGAAAATATAAACTCCAACAAAGAGTGCATTTCTTCTACAAAACAAGAAATAAAAAAATTATTAGCATGCTACAAGGAAATTTTGTGGGAGAAAAAATTTTTGAATCGTCAGATGAATTTGTTAGATTTTATGAAGCTTTCTACATCAAAATAACTTCGGTTTACAATTTTAATAATATAATTTGTTATACATATGTATTATCTAAGATTTTATTAAACATTTTTTCTAAATTATTGTTTTCTTTAGTCTCCGGCCCCAATTAAAAATAATTTGTTATGTATTTATATACGAAATTATACCCCGACTTATGCGAATTTGAGTTACGTGGTTATTGCTCGGTCTCACCTATCGCGTAAGTTCGAGGTGAGACCATTTGATATTCAGCTGTTAATGAAACAGTTTGTTAGTGATAACATTAGAAAAATTATGATATATTAAATTTTATCATATCATATTTTCAATTGGTGTCTACTTGATCAATGAAATTGTGCTATTTCATACTATACCAGTATTGTGATAAACATGAGAATGGTAAATTCATTATTCCTCTACTGTACACAATTTAAAGAATTTTTAAAATGTGTTAGATTGGTCAGTTGGTGTGATTGTCATTTACATAAGATAATGTTTGTAGTAATATAAAACAAATACAGAAGAGCATCGATTATCCAAATATCAATCAACTGAAATGTCAATTAATCGAAAGCTTCCCAGTCGGCAAATTTTAATTTCCACTAGTGCTGTGGCACTGCAATATTTGGCTATGTCTTGGGCTACTTCAATATTATTTTTGTTGATGTGCGTGTTTTAGCTGGCAGCACTGGCACGACCATGAGAGGGTACTTAAGGATATGCCAGGATTTGAACAAATTTCAACATGGGATAGGTTAATATATTTTTTCATACATGATTGGTTATCCAAAAAATTGATTTTCCAAACAACCTGTCCCAAATTGATTCGGATAATCAATGCTCTACTGTACTATTAATATAATATAATAGAAGGATTAGAAGTATGAAATAACCTAATAATTTTAACGTCTGTACTTATTTTTTGCCCAAACAATGTCAGGCTTACCAGCTAGTATTTCCTAAAATGCATTTGGCCCTTGGTGTTAATAACCCTTATCAGTTAGGTGAACATCTTTTTGCCTTGCATCAGTAAACCCATGCAACTTGTCTTCACAATTTTTACAACTGAGACTTAATTCTTTTGTACCGTTTAAATATCATAATATGATGATAAAATAATTTACTATGCATACACCATCTCAGTCAGTTCAATGATTCTTATGATTTAACACATTGGACAGCGGCTAAGCACATATTATAATATTTAAAGGGTACAAAAAAATTAACTCTCAGTTGTAAAAATTGTGAAGACAAGTTGCATGGGTTTACTGATGCAAGTTGGAATTCAAGGGTAATGGAAAATCTATAACAGGTTACATTTTTAGAATAGCAGGAGGGGCAGTAAGTTGAAAATCAGCAAAGCAACATAGCATAAGCCTTTCAATTTGTGAATCAGTTTATTGTTACCTGCAAAACTGTAAAAGAAGCAAAGTAGTTCTTTAAGTTATTGAAAGAGATGCAATTTCAATGACATTTACAAAAGGCTACCCCAATATACTGTGATAACTTCTCCGAAGTGTCAGTGATAAAAAATTCCATCAATCACCAAAGTACCAAAATATTGAGTTAAGATATCTGTTTATTCAAAAAGAGATAGAAGAAGGAAGATTTATAATCCAGCATATACTGACTGAAGAGATGATGGTCAGTTATTTGACAAAACTGGTGTCCATCGAGAAGAACAAATACTGTACTGAAGAATCAGGAGTGAAAAATTAACTGTTAAAACCACACAAACATACAGCATGGAAACACATTCCTTTAAAATAATATTAATTGAGTATTATATGTTAAAGGAGAGTTTTCATTACATTTTACACACTGTCAATAAGTTATTGATAATGATTTGTTAACTGCTATTTTTGCTTGTTTACATGGATGGGAGAGTGTTGACGACATGTAAACAAACTACAAAAGTAGAAGAAAATTAATAATGATAATTTTTGTTCTTTTATATGTAATCAATATTTTAATGTTAAACTTTTTAATTAATAAACTTCCACTTCTGGTTTTGGGTGTGGGACAGCCATATAAAAAAATGAGAGCACACTTTTTTTTATCCCCATCTGTGCGGGAAATCATTGAGAAATTTCCGATGTCAAATTTATTTCAAATTAAGAACTGATGTTTAAATAACAAATATTAAATCAATAAAATAAAAATAATAATAGTAATAATTTATTCATCAGGATATCAGGATGTCCAAGATTAAACCAGATAACATTTTCATTTCTTTCACTTTTAACTTTTAGATACAAGAAAACTGTCAAAAATAAATTCTCATTACTTTTAGTTTTCTTCTATGACATTGATGAAATAATTTATTTGTCAATCAGATTGAATTATTCCTATTTAATTAATTATCTAAATTAATAATAATATTTTTCAGTTCCATATTTCATTGTTTCTTTTCTTCATTAAACTATCAGTTCATTTATAATTTAAAATTAAATTATTTGAAACTTTTTAAACTTTAAATGAAAATGTTAGCTATTTGATATCACTTACCAAAATTGATATAAGAGTAAGAATTAGTGTCACTGAAGGACTAATGGATGGCAAAATTTCATGTTTGTATTCTTGAATCAATCCACCAGTCATTGCACCTTGAACAGAAACTGTTTTTTCTTTCAGATGAAAATATGAAGCTAAATAAAAAAAAATAACAACAAATACATCTTTTAAATTCCAGCAACTTAAATTTTTTTGAGCANTTTTAATACTTATTACTATAATCTAGACATGTTAATCCTTAAATATACTTGTACATTTAAGGATTGGGTCACAAATATATTATATATACTTGTGGCCCAAAACTCCATGACTTCTTCCAATGTGGCCCAGAAGAACAAAAAGGTTGGACACCCCAGCTTTAGAAGTAACAGGAGTTGTATACGAGTTGATGTGCACATGTGCAGAACGGAAATACTATATTGGAGAAACAGGAAGAAAACTGGAAGTGAGGCTGAAAGAGCATGAAGCGGCAATCCGACTAGATAGAACAGAATCCCCGTGGCAACAACACTGCAGTATAACAAATTGTATTATTGACCGAAATAATATTAAAATATTGTATAGAGTAAAAAATCTTGTAAAAAGACGCATCATAGAACATTATTGTATTAAAAGACATGTAAATTGTATAAATTTAAATGCCGGCACATGTGTTGATGCATGCTGGGATAGCTTGATAGAGTATAAAAGTACTGGCAACGTAACAATGTAATATCCACTGATGAGGCTAACAAGCGAAATATATATGGATAAAAAAATGGATAAAAATAAAATAAAGTAAGAAATAGTGAAAGTGATTTTCTGGTCTTTCTCTGTTTTTTAAACTCTATCGAAGTCGGATTTAAAAAAGTGAATTCACTTGTATTTCTTAAAGGCTTTTTTAAAGGAAAAATTTTTTAGAATTTATTAATTTTAATATTTGAATAACCGATCCCATTGTTTTATTATTTATTTATCATTTAAAATATTCTTTGGTATTTTATTTTAAAATTAAGTATTTTCATTGATAAAATTAATGTTTACCTAACTATGCTAACTATGCCAGCCATTACAATTATGTAATGATTCAAATATTAAATTATAAAATGATATTGTATGATTTTATGCACTTTATTTATGAAAACAAAAATTCAGGCAAACTACAATAGGTCACACAATATTATTTTATAATTTAATATTTGAAACATCAAATTATGTTGGGGTTCAAATATTGTCATCACTAGATGGTATTATATGAGCTATATAATCCCTTTGTTCTTGTCGAGATGACCTCTTTTTGTATGGTAACCACGTATACTAGTACATGCGTGCTCTTTTCCTTTTCGTTACACTTTTATCTACAAATACATGTGCTATGAATTGTAGATGTAGGTATTAACATGGATATTTTGTAAGTTAATAAACAACAGGTTGTGGCCCAGGCTATATTTGAGCTGTTGGTCCTCTCTTTGTGAAAGAAATTATCAGTTGGGACAGTCATCAATAAGAAAGAACATGGCATCCATAAGAATAGATCTTCTGGATAGAGAAAATTTTGACACATGGAAGATCCAAGTCAAAGCCTTGCTAATAAAGAATGATATTTGGGGCTAAATAAATGGATTGAAACAAAGACCAATGGGAGAAGACGAAATAGCAGCATAGGAGACCAATGACCAGAAAGCTAAGTCACTAATTTTATTGATAATAGAATAGAATAGAATGTTTATTAACGTAGTAGGCAATAGCCTGTTACAAGTTATAAACATTCTATTTATATTGTTACACGTTAATAAACATTCTATTCTATTCTAATTTTAATGATAAGTCTGTCTCAATTAATACAAATTAAAAAGTGTAGAATGTCAAGAGAGGTCTGGGGAAAAAACTCCACAACACACTTCAGTTGAAAGGTCCTGCTCGAAAGGCTAATTTACTAAAGCAATTAACTTTAAGTACAATAAAAAGGGGAAACCTATGTAAAAATTTAAATAGGTTCTTTGACTTAGTAGACAAACTACATGACCTCGACATAGACATTAACAATGACCTATTAGCAGTTATGCTGTTGTTCAGTCTACCAAAGAAATTCAAAAATTTCCTTTATGTAATTGAGTCTTGAGATGAATTACTGAAACTGAAATCATTACAAATAACAATAATTAAAGAGAGTGATTCTAGACATGGAAAAAATGTACAAATTATAATAATGCCCCAATTTAAAAACATGGTTACAAGAGTAGAAAACATAAAAATAACCCTAACAATGTAAATAAGTCCAAGTTTGAAGGGAAATGCTTTAAATGTAAGATATAACAATACAGTGTCAGAATGTGACTCAAATACAAAGACAAATAAAACCAACTTAGGGTTTCATTTAGTTCTATCAAGTGCTGAGAACAAAGGATTATACCACAAGGGCTAGATAATGATAGTGCCTCACATGTGCTCCTCAGTGATAGCTTTGACAACATGGAGTCCATGAGAATTAGGGAAGTGTGCCTAGCAGATAAGTTACAAACTAATGTGGCAACCACAGGTAAAATAAAATTAAGAATAAATGATGGTAGGAACAACAAAATATTCACACTAAATGAGGCCCTACATATACCCAATCTTAGTATGAATCAGATGTCAGTAGCTAAGATCACAGAAAAAAGCTTCAAAGTTATTTTCATCGAAGATAAAGCCAAAATGGTAGACAATGCAGGAAAAACTGTAGTGATTGCTGACAGAAAAAACAAACTATACTATGTTAGAGAAGGTAGAAAAGTTAACTCAGCCAACAAAGCAAATGCTTGCAGAAATCTGAGATGGAGCTATGGAACAGGAGATTTGACCATCTTAATGAAATCGACCTAAAGAAATTAATTAAAAGCAGTGCCGTCCTAGGATTAAAATGTAAGCTTGGAAACTTGCCATCTTGTAGTACCTGTCTGAAAGGAAACTGATACAAACCCCTTTCCAACCTCTGAAAGTCAAATCAAAAAGCAATTAGAGATGTCATACATTCTAACATTTGTAGTCCAATTAGATCAAGCTCATTAAGAGGGACAAACTACATTATTACAGTATTTGATTGCTTGCTGTTCTCTCAATTAGTTATATGTCTTTTGAAACTTAGCATAAAGTTTCTATTGAGAACAAATCATACAAGTTATTCTAGAATGGATATGCATTTCAGGCATAGGCCCAAAATGCATATCCATTCTAAATTATAGAAAATAAATCTACTTTTTCCATCAAAAGGAGTGTTCTTGTATGATTTGTTCTCAATAACAACTTTACGCTAAGTTCTGAAGGATATATATACTTTATTACGTTTATCAATGATAAATCAAGATGGACGAAAGTGAGATTCCTAAAGGCAAAGAATGAAACCATGGAAGTATTAAAAAATTATAACATGGTTGAGAATCAAACTAGTCAGAGAATAAGGAAATTCCAATCTGATAATGGTAGCAAGTTTCTCTCTCATGAGTTCTCCAACTCCTTCCTGAAAAATGCAATGAAAAGGAGATTGAGCATACCTCATAAACCTCAGCAAAACAGTGTCGTGGAAGAATCAATTGCACCTTTCTCGATATGGCAAGGTGTATGCTGATTGATTCAAAATTTCCAGAAAAATTTTGGGCTGAAGCTGTATCTATGGCATGTCAAATCAGAAACAGATCTCCTCCAAGTGCAATAAATGGAGTAATTCCTTATACAATGTGGTCTGGAAAACAACTGTTTCATATTTTATACTGTTTGTATGCAGGACATACACTACGAATGCTGAACAAAAGTACATTTGAACCTAGATCACAACTCTGTGTACTAGTTGGTTACTCAATTTTTATTCTCTGGAGAATAAAAATTATAGGGTGTGGCTCACTAAAGAAGAGATTATATGTCATTCACAACATAAAATTCATAAATGAAGCCAAATGAGGATGATATAGATAATGATCATAACAAATCAAAACGTAAAAACATTAGAGTATATCCTGACTGAGGATAGGCAAGATCATCATGAAAAACCAAAGAAAGAAGATCCAATAGATGAAAAGGAGCCTGCAGAGGTTGACAGCCAGGAGTACAAAAAAGTTATATGACAATGTGTAACAAGAGGCAGAGTAAGATCAAAGATAATCAGGTTAGGCAGTAGAGGAAGAACATGAAAAGAGTATAATATAACATTTGACCATTTGGAGAAAGAACCAAGTGAGATAATTTCTTTGCAAGGGGAAAATATTATAGACATTTCCAGCTTGGCAGAATACCCAAAGTCAATGGAACGGAAAGGATCAATTCAGAAAGAGTTCTTATCTTTTCTTCAAAACAAAACATACTCAATATATGAACAATCCAGTGATTGTAACATTATTCAATGTAGATTAGTACTGACTAACAAATATAAGTCTGGTGGAGCATTTGATCATAAAAAGGCGTCATTATATTCATTGTGCTCTCAAAGAAGAAGTGCCATCGAATATCTACCAACAAGTGAAATGTTAGCAAATATCTTTACAAAGACTTTAACTAAAGAAAAAGCACTATTTCTGTTGTCATGGAATTGGACTTGTCTGAGAGGACAATGACTTCAATTTGAGAGATGTTGGGATTCAAATACTGTCATTGCTAGGTAATGTTGTATGAACTATATAATCCTTCTTGTAGAGATGACCTCTTTTTGTATGGTAACCACATGTACTAGTACATGTGTGCTCTCTCCTCTTTTGTTACACTTGATCTAGTGACTATGTGCTATGTAGACATTAGCATGGATATTTTATAAGTTAATAAACAACAAATTATTTTGGATTAATGTACTTTTTCATGGTGTGCAAATTTGCATATTTACCAGAATGGCATATAAACAAAACAAAAACTAAAATTTCATTGCACACATTGTCATATACCTTTGTCAAAGGATAGAAAACAACAAATAAAATGAAAATAAACAATTACACAATAAAAACCAAGCATGCATTTTTCAAATGGTACAGTTATAAATAAAGGATAAAAAAGTTGGTTTTTGCACTTGTATATATTGTATTTACATTAAGAACAATTAAATCTGTATCAATAAATTTTTACTTATTATATATAAATTAAATAAGAAAAAACAATAATCTAGACTAGTCATAAAAAACCATAAAGTTATTCATTTTCAAACACACAAAAATTTGAAAAAGATCAACAATGGTCAGTCCACAGAAACATGACACCTAAAAGGCCAGACCTGAAAGTGTTAAATAATTTTTTAGAAAATAATTATGATGTCATTATTTTGTTTCTGGACATCGAAAAGCTTCTTAATTAGCATCCCATGCTAAAACTCATCCCTGGAACTGACTTCAATTTTATTCCTATTAATCAATGTATTACATCAAGTTTATAATTATATATCCTATGATGATGACAAATGGTTAAATTAAAGCATATTTTTTAATTTAAAAAATTTTTACATTCATTTATCAGTTTGTTGAGCAGCAAATTACGTGGTAGGTCTATTTAATTATTTGTACAATTTAATTTGAAGTTTCCAAAGTAGTTAGTAATAATTATTAATTGGTTCATAAATTGTTTTATTTTTGTGCTAGTGTGCAATAATTTTCAGGAAAATTTTAGGAAGCATTTAAAGAAAAGAGATTCTCTATTCTGTACTGAAGTATATGTGTGAGACTAGCAGAGGGCCACTGGGATGATCCCAAATGACCACTTACGCTGCACACGTTGGAACCTGGACTCGGATTGTCTGATGGCTTAGGAGGGCAAATTGAGTGGGGAGTGCATCGGTAAGTCAGCAAGTACAACAATAGACAGGTTTAACAAAATAGCAAAGCATTTATTGGATAGCTAAGCTAGGTTACATGAGACGATAATAATATTAAGTTTAAATGCGGTTAAATAGGAATTTACTATACAAAGGGCCGCTCTTAACAGCTCTAACAGCTATTCTGAGAGAGAGAGTTCACAAAGCTCTAAAATACAAATACCTCTAGGAGGATATGACTGATATGCATGTGTTGAATGGACCGTAGGAATCGTAGTCGACGCAGGAACTGTAGTTGGCAATAAGTATGGAAGTTTAAAGTTGTCGTATGTCGATGTCTTCTCCTTTCGGTCATTGTGTCCAGTGTATGGAGATGCACACATTCACAAGTATAACTTCTTTTGCTCCACGAAGACAGTATAAAAGCTCGAGCCCCCAGAACCTCAAGGCGATCACCTTGAGCTTCTGGGGCTCGAGCTTTTATACTGTCTTCGTGGGAAAGGAGTCACGTGATCGACTTCTGTTGACATTAATAGTGCATTCCTGTTAACTTTCCCACCTAATTGTGAAAACAAACGGTGACTTTCGATCTAATTCTCATCAAGAGTGGATTTTTTCCGTCGAAGTTGTTTACAAATTTTTTCTGACAACTACGTAAAATTGCGGATCTCACACGTCATGACCAGAAGACAAGAAAAGTGAAATATGTGGAACAATTTGATAAAATCCATGGGCTAGTTATCTATGAAGTAACCATTTACTACAGCATTTGTGGCAGCAGCATGAGACAAGCATAAAATACAAGTATACATGTATATTGAGAATGAAATTTTAGTTCTGTGGTTTTAAAAATTCAATGTTCTCTTGCTTTAGGTCTTAGCAAGACAAAATTCTGCACATCTGTGGAACAATAAAGAATAGAAAATTCCACATGTCTGCAGATTTATAAATATTAATTAACAGAAAATGAATCCTTGAAATCTACCATTTCATTTCCCATATGTTACTCTCAATTTACACAATTTTGATTTTACACAAAATCAAAGTACTGTATAAATCAATCTTACAAGTTAGATGTATTTATAGGAATTTTTCATTAAATAAAATTCATATTATTATCATAATTTATTTTACTTTAAATCACATACCTACTAATGCTAATCCTTTATCAAGTGTGTTATAAACAGCCCAAATGTTTGGTGCCCAGTAAGCATGTGTCAGACCACGTTTAAATGGAAACAAACGAGAAAGAACTTGAGGCATCTGACCCTAAAAATAAAAGTTATTTTAAATAATCACTCACTAATTACATTGAAAAATAATCTGTTTTTAAAATAATCTGGCTCAATCTATAACTTTTTAATTACTTTAGTTTCTATATCCGGTTTTATTAAAATTGATTATAATTTTTCAGAATATTTAATTAAAATCTAGATAATAACCACAGTACCTTTTTCTAGTCCAGCAGCACTATTTCTTCTATTAAAGAAAAAAACATTTTTATCTTTCCCTAAGATCATCATCAGATATTATTCAAAAAAGGACACATCTGAAGAACATGACATATTTCAAATTCAAAACCTCCAATCAGGTGTGTATAAAAGAATGATGTACTTAAATTGTAAATTTTTATTGAAATGTGCTTATCATGCATGAAAAATATGTTTCTCTTCTTTATAATTAATACATCCTTCAAGTGGGTCCACTTAAAAAATCTCCACAACTTCTAATCCTCCGAGTTGTTCAGTAGAAATAGCATTGTGTTCTTCAGACATTTCCTTTTTTCAAATAATACCTGAAGATGATGTTAAGGGAAGATCAAAAATGTTTGGTTTATAGAGAAATAAAGCTGCTGGACTAGATAAAGATACTGTAGTTATTTATTTGTTTCATCATCCAGTTTCATAAAGTATTTGCTTTTAAAATCTAGATAGTTTTCTAATAAAAAAAATTGCTTCAATTGTTTGCTTTTCATAAACCAAGAAACTCAAAACTATTTAGATTTTTTTAAAAATCAAATTAGAATACTTAAAATTATTTCTCGTACATCATTTAATTGTTAGAGATAAAGTTGGATTTCTTATATTTTTCAAGATGAAAAAAATTACAAAAGATTACAAAAATTCAAAAATTAAAAAACTGAGTATTATTATTTAATTTTTAATAACAATTCTTGATTGTTTTTGTAATTAGCACTACAAAAAACTGTACAAAATATATTTTTAATGAAAAAAAATAATCTAATTCTATAACCTAAAAGCCAGCAGAATTGTCACTTACTAGACAAGCAAATTTTTTCATCCACTTTCAATGGATATCTTCAAGCTAAAGATCAAATTATAACAGCATGATTTTGAACAATCCAATACTTGTGTGTCATTGCCCTCTGATTGGTGGAGATGCTTCAAATCATGTATGAAAAAATAAACTTTTTTCAACCATCCAATTCAAATACTTGGACACCAGCTGTTTGGTGGAGATGGTCCCCATACAAACTCATGTAAATGCCAGTGTTTAAGAGGATGAAGGAATACATCTCCACCAATTACAGGGCAATGATACAATGTATCAGATAGTTCAAAAATCATGCAGTTATAATTTGATGTTTAGCCTGAAGATGTCCATTCAAAGTGGATGATGACATTTGCTTGACTAGTAAGTGACAATTCTGCTGGCTTTTAGATTATTCAGATGTTTTTACATATTACATTGAATTCAGTTGATAGTAACTAATAAATTAAATTTTAAAAGTTTTTAAGAGCTTTTGAATATTTGACTTTCTTAGTCAAGCAGATGAAAGACTGAGGGTACAAGGTACATATTAGGAATTTAGGAATTAGAATTAGGTACACTTTAGGAATTTAGGAATTAGAATTAGGTACACTCTAGGAATTGAATTTATAAAATGTTTTTGTCAGAATACACTCTTTTGTAATCTAAACAGATTTTGATACACTTTTAGTAATTTATGTTTGCCCCCATAAAAGGATCTTTGCAAAATGTAGTTACTTCCCTTATTATAGCCTCTTGGATTTCTGAAAATGACTGGAATTGTTTTCCTTTCAAGGCATATTTTAATTTGGGGAACAGGAAGTTATCAGCTGAGGCCAGTCTGGCAAGTATGTTGAATGATGGGGCATAGTAATGCACTTTTTACAAAAAGCAACTGCTTTGGAAGTCTGGCATTGCAATAAGAAGCACTGTATGCAACAAGAGTCAGTCACCAGTTTTATGCAAGGATGGTCTCACTCATGCAAGTCTTCAGAGAAGACATTGCAATATGCCTCAGTAAAATTTAGTATTTACTGTTTTTTCTCTGGCAGGAATTCTTTGTATATTGAAATCCTTTTCAATCAAGAAACAAGGATATTGTTTTCATTCTCAACTTTTGAATATGCAACATCTTCAGTAGAAAAAATTCTTCCCTACTCTGGCATTCTGTAGTAGAAGCATAAACAAAATATCAAGTTTCATCTCCTTTAACAAATTTTTTAGAAAATCTTCATCCCTTCAGCCATGGAAAAGAGAGCTGCATGAGTCAACACAGTCCTGCTTTTGCTCAACTGTCAATACATGGTCATGAATCATGCAAACACCTTCTTTTTACCCAAATTGTGTTCTACAATCTGGAAACTATTCTTAAAACTCAAATGTTCTGCTATCATTCTGAGCGACATTCTTTTTATCTTCAATCAATAGTTTGCAAACAGTTTCCACATTTTCATCATAACTCACACTGCAACAGTGACCACTTCTATCATCATAAATAACTTGCTCTCTTCTTTTATAAAACTGGAAATTACCATTTGAAATACTTGGAATGACTCAAAGTACTAGTTCCACACTCAGATAAAAATCTGAAAAACTATGATGCTATACACAGTTATGATAATAAAATACCACATAAACTCAAATCTATTTGTGTTAATATTCCTAAACATAACACTTTTTAATAATTCCTGAAAATATTTTCTATACATTAAAACTATTACAGTTTATTAAAATGTGCTATTTCAAGATCAACTAAATCCAACATTAACAGACTGAGTTTGTACTTCATAAAATGTAATATTCTGTCACTGCAAAATACACAAATTATTATTATGCTAAAAATTATCATCTTGTATAAAATATTACATTGTAACGTTTAATATTAATTTAAAATGTTCTATTCACAATGAATTACTACTATATTTAAAATTATAGCATTTACTAGCTTAAAAACAAATTCTTATATATTACTTACCATTAAAATAAATGGACCAAAAGAAATAGAAAAAACAGATAACACAATAAAAGATAATTTCAAGAAGTTGTAAATACAAAAGTTTTTCCATTCCAATATGCTACCTATAAATTAAAATTAACATAATAAGATTTTAGTAAAAATAACTGATGTTTAAAAAATTAATTTCTCACCTTTCTTAGATTGGATGAAACAGTAATGGCGCAGCAGATACACAAAATAAGCTGGTGCAATATAAAAGTAAATGTGTTTCATATTGAGTAATACAGAAAACCAAAATGTTGCTTCCAGATACTTTTCCTGAAAAATTCAAATAATAAATTATTATTATTTATAGGTAAAAAGTTATATCTATATAACAAAATATGTTCATACTTAAATAAAATTTGTCATAATTTTAATAATATTTTCTTATTTAAAAATAAACATAGATTCAATGGTGTAGATACAACTGTCTCAGGCTGTAAGGATTTACTGTATTATTTCAATATTTTTAAGTATAAATTCGTTATTATTATTATTATTAATTCTAATTAAAATTTTTGTAATATGTACAAGGCAAGAAGAAATATTACAAACAAATTATAATTAAAAATATATACATTTCTCAATATCTGTTCTGAAATGTATGTCTTTTACAGTATTATTTTTATTTTGTTTCCATCCATCTTTCACATTCATAAATTAATGTTAGTGTAATGATTGCTTTATATACTTTCATTTTTCCATTGGTACTATTCAGAAATTCATCATATGATATTAGGAATAATATGGTAGTTGTTTTCTAATAAAATTTAAGTATTCTGTTATTTTCTTTTCTCATTAGTTTCACTGATATTAATTGCAAACCTTGACAACTTCATTATCTTACAGTCAGAAAACAAAATGCTTAAATTATAGAATATCACCAGATAGTAATTAAATTTAAAAATTATAATTGAAGACATAGTCCGGTGAAGGAGGAATCACCACTTATTCAGTTTTGATGTTCTGAAATACACTTTTTGATGACCGACCTATGAAGAAAGGTCAGTCATCAAAAGTTGTATTTCAGAGCATCAAAAGTGAATAAATGGTGATTCCTCTTTTGTAGAAGCAAAGGGGTAGGAGTCAAATGTGTATTTATCACATATGGTTACCCACAGGATGTAATTCATTATTCCCAAGACTGACACAACTGTGCCTCAGAAAAGCAATCAGAAATGCAAGACACCAGACGTATGCTCTATTATACAAACTAATAAAAATGGAGGACACCATTTATGAACAGGACCCAAAGCTCCTAGCAATTATGAATGAAAATATTGTTAATTTATCACAGTGCCGAAAAAAATTTGAAACATAATTACATAAAGAAACTAAGATGGATATCCCGCATGCAAAATATTAAACCAAACAGAGCTGGAAACTCCCATATCACAACATGGGATAATATTGTATCCCTATAATGAATTTTGGATCCCTCTTTCAACAGACTGTCTTCAATTTTAATTTTTAAAACAATTAAATCTTTTTTTAGAAACCTAAATATAAATACAGTAGAGCCTCGAAAACTCGGCACTCCGGATAACTCGGCCATATCCTGGCAGGGCAAAAATACCCTTAGATAATTAATTTTCATCATAGACAGCTTTATGCTTCATAAAGTATTTTTCTGAAGTCTGTCTTATCAGGTAAATTACTGTACACAGTGTATTCATTAATTTTCATTTTTATGTAGTAAAGGCTCTATGCCTTCATAAAGGACGTACTTTTCCTTTGTTTAAGGGTATTTGGGCAGTTTATTCTCTGTTGTATTCTCAAGTAAACAATACATACAAGTACAGTACAGTATTTTCTGAGGAAACACTCGTACTTATTTTTTTTAACCCCATTCCCGATAACCCGGCATTTTCACAAACTCGGCCACCCTTCGATCCACATTAGGCCGAGTTTTTGAGGCTCTACTGTATTAAAATATTTCCATGTATATATATAATAATAATAATACTATTATTATTATTATTATGTTGGGTGCAATGTAGTGGGTTATACTTGGTTGACACCAGCTGCTGTGTACTATGCCAGACCAGAGTCAAAGCATTGCAACCAAAACAGAACAAAAATTAAATAAATGTGTCAGTATGTGTGTCTGTATTCAGGAATTTCCTAACAATATGACATGTATTCAATATAGAGGCCTTCTGTAGTGTGATGTACCAGTACATGTCTTTATACAACTATAATGTTTCCAGGCTTTTGTGTAGTGTGTGGTAAGACACCTGTAGGAGAGAGAATGACATGTACAATAAGCAGCCTGTCCATTCTCTACAGATGCCTTATTTCCTGGGTGAGTTTATTATTATTATTATATTAAATTAGATGAGATTTCCAGAAGTTACTTTTTCCAGCATCAAATCCAATTTATATCCAAACTAACAAAAGAACATTAATAGCTTGAGCTATCAGAGTTGATCTATGATTTTAGAGGAGAAGTACAGTATTAGTATTACTAAAATAAAAGCTGTGCACACACACACACATACACACACACACTTGTGTGTACAAATTCCTTATAACTTCTGCAATTTTTGTCCAATCCAAATAAAATTTTGGTTATATTCATTTTATGTTCTGACAGAGCTTAAAGGCTACTTATTTTGCAGAAATATTAACTATAGAATAAACATTTTATTGATTTTGGATCAATGATCACACTTATGTTGCAGTGGCATCGATGACCTCATTTAGTTCATGCTTGGCAAGGGAATTTCCCTTAAGTTGCAAAATATTTTGGCAAATGGCATATTTTAAACTTACTTTGTTAAATTGAAAATTTAAATTTTAAAATAAGATAGCCACATTGTGTCACTTCTATAACAAATTTTTTTAAAAATCTTTTCATAGTGACCATGTGACATTCTATTACCCAATCAGAAGTAACAAGCTAACAAGCCCATATTTAGAAAGTGTTATCACTCATCTAACTAACATATACAATTCATCTTTGTTTTATTGATGTGAAATTAAAAAGATTTGCAGAGACTGCAAAGTCCAACTTGAGCAGCATTGAGTAAAAATGGCTTTGTCAAGGGCTGCAGAAACAGGATCATAACATCAATCATATAAATAATAATAAGGTGTCTATTACTAATGGAAAACAGCAATGAAACTTTTTAAAAGACAATAGAGTGTTTACTCAGAATGTAGTGTATAAAAAAATTTTATAAAGATTTTATTATTATTTTAATATAAAGGCCTAAATCTGTTTATGTGTAAGTGAATTCTTTATAACTCCTATCATTTTTGTCCACTCCAGGAAAACTTTTGTTTTGTTCTTTACAGATAGTATATACTACTTAATTTGTAGAAATATTAGCAACTCTTCTTGAATTTCTTGAAATCTCTACTCTTCTCATAAAAAGTATCATCATGTTTGACAGGGGAATTTCTAGTTCTCAAATACTGAACTTTGACTATTAAAATGATTTCACACTAAAACTGACTGGACTGATTCCAAATCATGTTTTCATGACAAGCAGTAGGCCAACCAACTTAGATGGATTTAAAAAGTAAAATATTTGTAGTTGAGTCAGAGCAGCTGGTGAGATACAACTAATGAGAGCTTTGAAGCTATGGTCAATCAGACTTTGGATTTATGAAAACATGTTTTCAATAAATTTAGAAAAACAATGATTGGCTGATGTTTCAATTTGAAAAACTCACTCTTATTGGTTATAATAAATCATCCACTGACAGAGCATATTCAATGCAAATGCTTTTTTCTACTAGTTAGTCTGATTATAGGATTGGTTTGGTTAGTCCAGTCTGTATAGTCAGTCAGTCATATGGTGTGAAATTGTACAGAGTATCTGATATGCATCATGTCAGTAGCTATTGTTTATATCCCTACTTGGAAATGTAGTGTTTATTTACCTTTGTACATTTCATACTATAAGCTGTTTATGTTTCTTACCATATCTCGTATATGAGAGATGACAAACTTTAAGTGTAATATAAAGTTTGTTTTGTACATTTGTTTGGATACAATGGAAAATCGCTGTTATCGAACCATTGTCCCCAGTATATAGTTGTTATATCGAGAATCAACAATATTTGTAATTTATAAAATAATATTTTGCTTACTTGAATCATTCTTGCCATAGAAAGAAGTAAAATGCCACTTAACATCCCATTATATTGAAAATGGATATGATCAACCATAAGTAATCCTGGATTCCATAATAAAAGCATGGTAATTATCATACCTCGTTCAATCCAAGGGTCATTTTGGTTAAATTTATTACGTTCCATCACAATGTGAGAAAATCTTAAGTACATAAATAAAAATAAATATTCAGTTATAATTAACATTTGTATAGAAAAAAATTCAATTAAAAAATTATATTTTTAATACTTACTGTTTTACAGCATAGATATAAACAAAATCAGAAATTATAACTGACAATCTCTGAAAAAATACAGTTGGCATAGTAGCATAATTTAATTTCATTACATTTAGCATTGCCGGATCAAAAAATTTTGCCAAATGAGACAAGAGAAATTCAAACCACGCAAACAGAGGAGGATAGTCTAATGTCCACTGTGAAGTTGACTTAATAAAAAAAAAAATTAACAGATTTAACAAAAAACACCTTACAACTAAAACTTAATTTCTTATATCTGCTCCTTACCTCATAATACCATTTTGAGACAGGAAGACTATGAGTTATGGCTAACCAATTTCTATGCACTTCAAAATCAGTAGATCGACTAGAAGAAAAAAGTTATTTTTAATTACCTTTTAACATTATTTTTTAATTTTATAAATAAATAAAAAATTATATTTACATTAGTTTAAATAATAAAAATTACATTTTAGCAATTTAAATTAATAAATATTTAAATCAATGCAATAAAAATTCTGCAATAATTCATATATAATCAGAAACATCTAGATAAAATTAAAATAGCTTATCTTGTAACAACACAACTCATTTATATTGAAACTGTTTATTATTGAAAATTTAAAATTTTTAGAACAGCTGTTCTTTTATTCAAAGTTAAACTTCATATGTAGTTTGAAAATATTTTTCAATATTTTTCATATTTTTCAATAAAATGTTTCAAGTTAAAAAAAAAACTGGAATTAATTTTTTAATTTACAAGTTAGAAGTTGATAGAGGAAGTCATTCTTATTAATGATGATATGAACTTTCCCTAATATGAATTCTTCTTACTCTGAATCACTTTTGCTCATTTTTCCTTCTAAGCATTCTAATCAAAACTCATATCACAGATTTCTTAAAACATTATAACTTTGAAAAATAATGTACGACATACTTTAACAAATATACATACTCAAATACATCATTTAAAAAAATGCTTAAAAATACAATCTGTAATCCTTTTTTATTTCCTTTTCTTCACAAATATATAACCCTGTTAATCCAAACAATCCGGTGAAATAGGTTAATGAGTGTGAACTATATCACAATTCTTCAACAGCATTTATATGCTGTATAAGAACTTATACAAGCATACCCTCTAGTGGATAAGTGAAAACCAAGGAATACTGATAGCCGTGGTGGGCCTCACAGAGTGTTTCAGGTTTTCTTCACATCTAACACCTAAACAAGAACAAGTTTCCTATAAAGTCTTCCCAGGAGACATCCCTTTGGCAGATTACCCACAGTTGCCATATCTCAATCAAATCATATGGCACTTAAGCAATGGCAAAATATTGTAACTTGTAACTATATTTCTTATTCATAAAAATAATAATGATGATAATTCATAGTTAACTAAACTGACATGTATAAAAAATCAAAATTTTATACATCTATTAAATTTTATTTAAATTTTAAAACAGGTAAAGAATAAAGCTTAAATCTACTATGTTTTAATATTAAACTTGTGGTTGTGCAGAGCATATAACTTTAAATTTTTATTTATTTTTGTCTTCAATTATAATATATTTTTTAAATGATAAAACTACTGATCATCCTGTATATATGAGGACAAAAAATTTATTTATCCTGCTTTATTGTCATATTAATTAAACTAACATTTTTCATGTAATAAGTATGGCAATTCTATATTTGTTTTGTGATAAAATCTTGTACATTTTGTACAAAACATAATAATGAATTCAAACAAGTTGATTTTAATATTTTTTTATTATATAAAATTTTAAATATTTAAACATATTCAATATAAAAAAATCAATTCAGCTATTTTATGCTATACAAATTCTTTTAATAATAAAATTTTCTGAGTACAGTTAATTATATACTTCTTATATAAACTAATTATCTGGAGTCATACATAGAATAGGAATAGGAACAGGTCTGTATTAAAATGTTAGACAAAAGTGATATTTATCACAAAGAGAACGAAATATTTTTATTCTTGATTTGTATATAATTATTTTCTTAACATATTATCTTTACTGTACAATTCTGAGCAATTAAATTTAATTGTTGTTCTATACAAAATATTCCATTCAAATATTTTCTTTATAATTTTGATTCACTTCTGTTTATGGAGTTTTTATGAGCTTTCTCTTTCAAACTTCTCAATTCATCTCCAGAATAAATTTCTAACAATAACTTTTTAATGTTATAATTCATTTAGATGTACCTTTTATTTTATTTTTGTATTTTTATGTGCTTAAACATCATTTTTGTCTGAAATATTTTCATTTATATATAAGCTATATAAAAGTTTAAATTCATATTTTATCATGTGTGACGTAATTATTATTATTAATAACAGAGATTACGTCAGTGTCAAAATTCACAATATGGATTCAAATTTTTTAAGATGTTATAACACAGGAAGCCATTTTAAATGCAATAAAAAACGATAACAATTATTAACTTTATCAAATTTTTTGCTACTTTTAAATATTTTAAATGGAATTGCAGTATTTATTGCATTAAATTTGTAAAATAAATATTTTACAAAATGTATTTGTACATCATTACTTATAATGAAAACATCCTTATTAACTATTTTTAAAACATTCATGTTGTTTACACATTTCTCTCATTTTGAACAGAATAATTTGTCTTCATTTACATTTCATATCGACATTCATACTCAAAACAAGATAAATATGCACAAATGTAGATATTTGAAGAATATCATTCTAATCCATGTAAAATGATAGCTGACTTAATATAGTTAATCAACTCATATATGAATATAAATTTAAAAATTATGAATTATTTTACATCAAATAATACTAATGTAAAAAATAATTAAATTTTAGATTTAAATAGTTTACACACAAAGACAAATTCACATGTAATTTTCAAAATTTACTTTCAAATGTACAGTACAGTAAATAAAATATTATATAATTGATATTCTTTAATAAGAGACCAAGTAAGAAATAAATTCATAAAAGATAAATTGAAAACTGAAAAGTTGGAAACAGGATAATGACTAAGAGGACCAAGAAGTCTTTACTTATATTCAACTCCATACTTTGCATTTTATTTACCTCACTCTATCTACAAGTTTCCAGAGAAAGTTCATGTATTTTCCCGTACTGTAGCCTACCATCGTGCTGCCATTAAGATACTGCAAGAACAATGGAACTGCAGAAGCATAGAATTGTGAATATAATTAATTTTGATATCACTAATAGACTGTTGTTCTTTTCAAATGTAAAGAAAACATGCATGGTGGAGAAATATCTTTAAAACTGATAAAAATTTGAAGTAAAATTAATAAAACTTAAATCCTATTTTTTTCCTAGAAGTTAATTGGCAAAATTGGCTTCTAAAATTTTACTAATAATCCACTGTTATTACATATCAGGAAATATTTGTATCACCTAAACGACAATATAAATATTTCTTGAAATGCAATAAAGTAGTCCAAAACATTCATAGAATATCATAGAATTAAGTCTAATGCAAAATTTTCAGATTTTTGGATAGTAGTTTCTAATTTATTTTTAGATGGATAGTCATTTCCACCAATTAGTACTATGAAATCATGAAATAATGATATGAGAGAATGGCAACCTTTGGAATATCCTGCTATATTTGAATACCTTAGTAAAATCAGTCTATGATTACCAAGAAATGCTTAATTATAGAAGTCTTGACTCTTATAATTATTTTTCAAGTGGTAAAGTAGGTGAAATTTTAATTAATTAACAAATTGTCAACAAAACACTTTTGTCCTTAAGACAAATGCAGAACAATCACAAACCCTATCTGCAAGTAATCATTCAGTATGAACTTTTATGTCTAATGATGGCAAATAACTTTGCTATCATTAGACATAAAAGTCAATTTTGATGCATCATGTTTTCATGTACCGATGTACTGTACATGAAAACATGATGCATTCAAACCACTTGTAAAGAACTCTCTGGCTATTATGGCACCAACCACTGCACAATATCTACCTGAACCAGTTTTATAGGGTGGCTGCCCAGATATATGCCCTCATGTGGCAAAATTCAAAAGCATATTATGGAAACTTGTGGATGCTATTAAAAAGTTCATGTTTTTAATGCTGACTAAATGTTTTTTGAGAAAAAAATCTAATCAAAATTAAAACAGAGTTTTTAATAGTATAGGAGAATGTAAAAAAAAAAATCAAGAAGTTTGATCTTATGAAAACTAGGGTTTCTCCTATGAGATCCTGGCTGTTTTTTAATCCAGGAAATCCTGCAAATTTCTTAAAAATTCACTTTTTTCTTATTTTGTGTTAAAGTAGAGGAACTTTTGCAAATAGAAAGTATAATTAAACCCATAAACTGTCAGAATACATTTGTATTTATTAATTTTAAGCCCGCTTATTAGATTTATAAATTTTTGCATATTATGTATGGCATGTCACAGATTCTCAATAATCAATATGTAGCCTATTTGTGGCAGGACCCTAAAAATTCTTTACTTGTCAGAATCCGTAATATCTCAAATAATTGCACTGGTGCAGTCTTAATTTTTAACCATGCCCAGTAGCTTCAATAACTGCATAATACCAGGTTGTGCAAATTAGTCAAGGATACAAATGAGTATGAAGTATTCAAGTATGAAGTTTTTCTTCATAAACCTGATTATTAAAGACAAATGAACTTCTGAATTATTGGGCTATAAGCTTGATGTTTCTATTAAAGCAGCCAAGGTAGACAAATCAAAAATACTATCAATAGATGGCAAAAGAAGTACTGTAATGCATCTCGAAAACAAACTAAAAATTTTTGAGACTACGGATGAAAAAACACATAATATCTGTCTTCTCTTAAATGCATCAAAGATGATTCCACTCACATCAATTGAATCGGAAAGGGCATTCTTGGTAGCAAGACTTTTCATTACTAAAATAAGAACCAGATTGAGTGATTGGAGTATTGACCATCTTTGCTTTTTAAAATCTTATTATAAAAATTTACAATAATATGTTGTATTGTGTTTTATTTAAACAACGAAAATTACCTTCTAACTTATAAGTTTCATCTAAGTTCATTTTTTTTATTAAATTTTCAACTCAATTCAAAGGCATTTTTTTGTAAGCAGTTTCCAACAAACTTTAAAAAAATTTTTCTATTTGTGAAAATATCTACGTAATTCGAACATATGTTACACATACTATTTTGGAGGTTGCATGACATATTAAGTTACTTAAAAAGTTACTGAAAAATAATTATATCATTCAATTTTAAAATTTATTCGATATCTTAAAAATAATTAATTATATCCTGAGATTTCCCAGAATCCTGGAACAAGCAAAAGACTGGAAAATGA